GGGAAAGAGGTAGAAAGAAAAGAGAGAGATCAAAAGAGAGTAAGAGCGAAGCGGGCGCCGTTACGATAAAAGAAGTTTTTCGGAGAGCGTATTCGGGAGCGTTCAATGGTCGAAGCAGCTATGCGCCACGCCGTCGTAGGGTTCTTGGCTAGCTAGTTCTGACTACGGGAGGTCTCGGGCCGCAGTTACGACCTCGAGAACGAGCGGGTTCGCCTCGCGAAGATGACCATAATAGTCTTTTTGATCGACACGTCGGCCTCCATGAATCAGAGGGCATATTTGGGCGGGCGACCCACGCTTTTGGACGTAGCCAAGAGCGCCGTGGAGACTTTCGTGAAGGTACGCTAGTCAGACAGCTTTCCCGGCCGGGAGATTCAATTGTGGTTGCTGCCCAATCGTCAGTTTGTTTCAACATCAAAAAGAGCAACGTGTATAACGGATTTCTTACTTTTACCTCCCTTTAACTTGTTTCTTAATCGTTCATCCCTTTTTTTAGGTAAGACAAAGATCACCAGAAAGCCGTGGGGATCGTTATATGCTCCTGACCTTCGAAGATCCGCCCCAGAATATTAAGGTATGTTTTCTTCGTATTTCACTTGCTTTTGCGTTCGCATTTTTCACAGCTTTTATCCTTTTCCTTTTCTTTCATTTCTAAGATCTCTATATTTCTTTCTCTCTTTCTCTCGTTTACTAACACGTATACATACTGTCTTTATGCTAGCTACATATATAGTATTCCATACATAAGCTCTTTCTACGTGTGATTACGTTTTCCTTAAATATCTTTTTAATTTTCCTTTCTAAACGCATTCACAATTCATTGTTTTTTGCAATCAGTCAATGTATTCAAGCAAGATTGCTGTTATTGGCCCCCTTCGATTGCTGAATAATTGATACTCAGCAAAAAGGCAGCAAAATGCAGCGTGCACTTGCTGAATCTTCCGTCCTCCGTTACGGAAGAGCAGCATTGTGGGTAGTGACATACGGGTGGGGGCATACCCACGAGGGTCTTTTTCTCTGTGATTACGTGCGCGCCAAATTTACGAAATTGATATACACAACTTCATTGATAAGACAAACTCTTTTACTTTTGTTTTTTAAATTTTTGCAACCTGTCTTTGTTAATTTCTTTTTATCCAAGTTTGTTTTATTAATTGTTTTGACAATAATACTTTAACTTCATTTTATGTCATTCAATTTTGTGATTATATCAAATGTATTTATAAATTGAAGTTGAGACCTTTTTTCTTTCAGAATTGAACATATCAGGTTAATGGCTTAATAATGAATGAGGTTGAAAGTTGTTATAAGGATTAAGGTACTGTCGCCAATTTAATAATGGTAGAGAAGTAAAAAGAGGAGTCTATGGGTCAGTGGATCCTAAGACAATAAAGAATTATTGTGAATTGGATAGAAGCTGATGAGAATTAATATTTCTGGTACAATAAAGAAATCATCAATGCAACGGACAATGAATGTTATGAATTTTTTATGGCTATTCTTTATTGTCTGAATATCTAATGTTACGTGGAGGTTCTCATTATTGTAGAACAATCTTCTCCTCTATTATTGAAAAACTTCAGTGACAGAACTCCAAGCCTTGTAACAAATTACAATTTTTCTTTTTTGAAATATTAATTTTATTATCATGCATATGTTACAGATAAAAAAAATAAAACTTGTGAAAATCAAAATATTTTTGATAAGAGAAACATTTCAATTATAAATTACTTCTTAATTCTTTATTATTATTATTAGTAATAGTAGATGATCACAAGAAAAAGAAATATATTTAAAATTAGTATTAATAATTGTAAATAAAAAATGCAGATGTTTGAATTTTTTTTTCTTGTTTTTCATACATATTTAAACAAATATTTTTATTCTTTTAGGCTGGTTGGAAAGAAAATTTAGCAACATTTATGAATGAGCTTAAAAATTTACAATGTATTGGGCTGACAACATTAGGTGCTGCTTTAAAACATGCTTTGGATGTTTTAAATATCAATCGTATGCAGACTGGTATAGACACATATGGACAGGGAAGATGTCCCTTTTACTTGGAACCATCAGTAATTGTTGTGATTACAGATGGAGGAAAATATACAACTAATAGTGGAGTTAATCAAGATGTAAGTATATTAATTATTTAAAAATCAGAAATAGTTTTGTAATTTTTCATGAAAAGAAGTGATTAAGAAATAAAAATTAAATTGTAGTTTACTTTACCAATGCATTCACCAATACCTGGATCCGAGCTAACAAAAGAGCCATTTAGATGGGACCAAAGATTGTTTTCTTTGGTACTTCGATTATCTGGAACTCCAGCTGTTGAAAGAGATACAGGTTTAGTAGCGAGTGATTCATCTCCCATAGATGCCATGTGTGAAGTTACTGGAGGTAAGGAAAACATTTTTTTATAATATATTTTATTTTATAATATAACCTATTTTTATTGTTTTAAAATTACTGATATTAGAAATGTATTATTGATTGTAGGTCGTTCATATTGTATAACATCTTTTAGAATGATGATGCAATGTATAGACTCTTTGGTACAAAAGGTTCAGTCTGGAGTAGTAATCAATTTCGAAAAAATTGGTCCAGATCCGCCACCCTTAAATAACGAAACACAGCATGCAGACGATGATGAAAACGAAGACGAAAATAATACAACGAACGGAACTCGAACGTATCCTCCTAATCCAACGGTACCAGGAAATACAGCGTGGCATTCTTGTAGAAGACTGATTTATGTTCCAAGATCTGCTCAGAAAGGTTTCGCAGTTGGATTCTGGCCGATCCCTGAAAGTTTCTGGCCTGATTTGAGTGCTAGTTCTTTACCGCCGAGATCAGCACATCCGAATGTAAAATTTACTTGTACAAGTCAAGAACCTATGGTGATAGAAAATCTCCCATTTGATAAATATGAATTAGAACCAAGTCCGTTGACACAGTATATATTAGCTAGAAAACAACCGACGATTTGTTGGCAAGTTTTTGTGGCTAACTCTTATAAATCGAGTGACGTGGGTCATCCATTTGGATATTTGAAAGCAAGCACTAATTTAACTTGCGTAAATCTATTTGTCATGCCTTATAATTATCCAGTACTTTTGCCTTTGTTGGAAGAACTGTTTAAAGTGCATAGATTAAAACCAACGACTGAGTGGCGAACGCAATTCCAAAATTATATGAGAACGATGCCTACTTATTATGCAGCAGTAAGTTTTTAAATGGTTGCTAAGAAATGTAATTGTCTTGTTTATAAATTTAAATAATACTAAACACTTTTATATTACAGTCCCTTAGGAGAGCTTTAACTAGAATGGGTGCACCTGCACCATTAGCACAAACATTAATACCTGATAATATGGATAATTCATTGTCCTATAGTGTCTTAAACTATTTAAAACGATTAAAAAATCAAGCAAAAATTGAATTTGACAGACTATGTAATGAAGTTCTTTCTAAGCAACTTGCTACTGCCAATATGACAAAAAATTTAGTAAATGGTAGTACAACAGTAACAGAGGGTGTGAGAGTTATTCCTAGAACCCCATTAAAAAAGGATTTGGTAAATATATTTTATTATCTATAAAACTATCATTCATTATAGAAATATTTATATTGTTATATAATTAATTGTTTGTCAATTTAACAGGTACCACATCCATTATTACAAGATAAATTTACTGGATTGAGGGATCAATTAAATGAATTTGGTGGTTTTGTAGTTGGATTAGTTAGAAATCAACAACGCGGTGCGCATAGCTATAGGAATGCATTCGATGTTCCACGGAAATCTCTATTAGATCAAGTTGTTAGAATGCGTGCCAATTTTCTACAACCTGGATTATTGCATACAAAATTACTTGATGATGACTATGTTCATTCAATGCCTTTAGCACAAATGGGAAATTATCAAGAGTATTTAAAACGTATGACTCCACCATTGAGAGAAATAGAAAGTGCTCCAGTTAGACAACATATGTTTGGTAATTATTTAAGATGTTTATAATTTATTTTAAATTAAAGAAATTGAATGGAAATTTATGTTAAAAGAGAATTTAATTTTTCATGTTTAAATTTTAGGTAATCCATTCAAAATAGATAAAAGAATGATGGTCGATGAAGCGGACATTGACATGGTTGGTGCAACATCTTCAACCTCTAAGGGTGGTCTTAAACGTACCTTACCTACATCGGACGGAGGAGGGTCGCTTGCTTCAAAACCACCGCCAAATAAACGAAAACCGGGTCCAATTCCTAAGGACGTAGTTATACGGAGACCGTCGTATACACCTACGAATACTCCACCCAGTTCGCCGGTACCATGGGTTGATGATACAAAAAATCAAGTGACCCCAACTGCCGACTCAAATCAAGTTTCATCAAATATAATAAACTCTCTACCTAGTGTATCAAATGCGCCGTGTGTGAATTCGCCGGAGAAATTAGTAAATGGCCTTACAGAAATGCCAACGATACCAGTTTTTGAACCAATTCCAGTGGAGCATACTAACAATCATATGGATGCTCCACCAACTTTAACACCGGTAGTTAATAACATTGACACATCTAACAGCGAAGTAAAAACTGAAAAAATGGAAAATGTTAAAAATGAGTGTAACAAACTACCTCCTAATGATTGTGTTGAAAATAGTGTGAAAGTCGAAAATTCGCTTGATGAACGGTTATCTAATCATGTCGAAGAAAAACGCGAGCCCAAAATAGAAAAAGACAAAGTCTTGACAAAAAAAGAATTGGAAGATATTAGAAGACATAATTTATCCGTTCGTGAACTTGTATATAAAGAAGTGCGAAGAAGAGGTACAAGTAAGTTGAAATGGATTTGCCTGTTATTTTTTTATGTATATTTATAGCCTATGAAGAAAGGAATTTGTGTAAAAAAAAATCTGTATCAATAATTGTAATCTTGTTTCAGATTATGCAACACTATTTTCACATTTACACCAAATTCAAGGGACTCTAGATATACGACTTGCATTTTTACGAGATATTGTGAAAGAATCGTTACGATTTAAAAGACGTAATTTGGCATCGTTACTAGAAGAATATTTGAAAACTGTACAAGATGATAACTGGACTATAAACCATAAGATGAATCACAATGGTGCCACAAAAATAAGTTAAGAATTGCATAATCGGGGCATTATTTTGATAACAAAAATAAGAATTCAGTGAACGATGCAGAAAGTATAAAAGGGATACATGGTACCCCAATAAAAGCAAGTCGTACATCTATAAAGCGATAAGCGTATTAGCGTTTAAGGATGTATGTTGCCAAGGCACGTGAAGTGATAATAATTGTTAAATCTAATGAAAGAAAATAGCATTCTGTACGTCAACCAAGGAGATATGGTTTTTATGCTCCTTTTTTCTAGTTTTCATTTTGTTACTGTGCAGTTGGTAGGAATATGTTTCGTCCTTTGTGAAAGATCGAAAAATGCGTGTTGCGACAATAAAGTCTTCTTAGTAGCAACTTAGTAACTTTATAAATATATGAATTTTTACAGATTATATTTTACAATATAGGGAAATATTTTACATTCGTTCATTAAATGTGCAAAATTTTATATTTTGATATTTTTTCATTTACTTCTTTAACAATATTAGAATAAATTTATCAGAAAATGATTACCAATATCCAATATAACTTTTTAGTTTTTGGATTTAATATTAGCAAAAATAATACTATACCATTTGTAATATCTCATTGTGTCAATTTTTCTAAATAAAACAATTTTTATAAATTTTATATCTCAAATGCAGGCATTTGAGATACTTTTCACTTTCGATAATAATTAAGAATTATAACTCAATTTCTAAATTATCTTATTTTCTAAATAAATTGATGTAAATATAATGTCCTGAAAAAGTACAACATTAATCGAATAGCATAATTCTATCAGCTGCACAATCGAGATTTGTAATGTCATGAAACAAAAAACTATACATTTTCTCGACTTTTCATTTTTCATTTTTTTTTTTTTTTTTTTTTTTTTTTTCTTTTTTTTTTTTTCCTCTATAAAAGTTTCAACGTACAGTATTGTGATCTAGCATATAAATGCAGGAACAAGTTCATTGATATAGTATAACATGTTTTGTAAATTTAGTTATGTATATTGTTAATATTATAAAGTTAAATTTGAATCTAATTTCTATAAAATGGAAAGACGCTTATACGCAAATTTAGGAATTTAATACATATTTTTTGTTTAAAAAGAAGTTGTAAAAATTCAAATTTTGTAAGTAGAAGATACGTACTATATTTTATCATGTAATTTACTAAATTAAAATACCTTGGAAATAGAACTTGTTTGATCATGATGAATCTTTCTTTTTTTTTTTTCAAATTTAATGCACATGATATTGGTTCATTAGTTATGAAATCTATCATAAAAGAATTGACTTTTCTGACTTTATCAAGAGTTGAACTTATTAAAATATTTTCAATAACAGGTTGACAGTGCCTAATGCTATTGAAAGTTAGTATAGAGAAGATTGTATTTATTTTTAACCTACTTCAGTAATTTTGTTTCAAATGTAACACTTATTAAGAAATAACAATGTATTAAGTTCATAGTAAAAATTAAAATTCTTAATTTTACAGAAAGAAAAGCCAAGTAAATTTAAAATTAAATAAATGAGTTTTATTGTTATCACTTTCATTGTTATTTCACATGTCACTGAATAGAAGTGGGTTGAAAAAATATACAGTAATAGCAATGATTTATATAAATAATTAATAATGTCAAAGTCACTTGTTGCTATCTATAAGGTGTAATAGTGATTTGACCAAATATTAATGTAGATTGTCCTAGATTAAATGATCAGGCAGATTATCTTACCTATTAATCAAGTAATTGATTCATAGACATATTTAGATCAGTAGTAATGCAATTTCATCTACTCTTCTTTCACTCTCATTATTTATATAAGAGTAGAAGAAACTTTTATAAGACATATTAATAAATTGCAACATATCATCTATCAAATTAGTCAAATTAAGTATAAAAGGGCTTGTTCTTTGTTTTTTCTCTAAATGCATTTTTATAAGAGGATCATCATTATTGCCCTTTTATACTTAAATAAGATCTCTTAAGTAAGATAATCAACCTGAATTTTTTTATAGGGACACTAAATATCTATATTCTGCTCTTTGTAAATTCAGTAGTGAAATTGTATATCAAATAGTATTTATTAATTGAAACCGTTAAATGTTTAATAAATTATTTTATAATAATGGAGCTTAGCTGAGTCTTGAAGACAATGATGCTAGACGCTTATTGGCTCCAAAGAGAAATTAATAAGAAAGTTGAATGAATATAACACAAAGTGCGATTCTTTAATGAATTAATAGATGATAAGAAGAATTATGGTGAAATAAGTATTACAATTATAAAATTTTTGTTATAGAAATTGCAATTTTTTAATATATTAGTATTTATTAAACCAGATTGATTGAAGATAATTATAAAACATGTCAAAAGAGTAAGAAAATGCTATATGCTATTTTGATGAACATAATGCATCTTGTAAATTTATAAACAAATGTTTGTTTGTAATTTTTTTCATAAAAGTGAATTTTATAATTCAAAATGTAAGAATCATTTTAAAAAATGAAATATTATAAATTTAATACTTTTGCACATTAAAAAAAAAAGACTAAATTATATACTTTAAAAAACAAGACTAGAAAAATATTAGTGTTTACAATTTTTTATGCCCTGTAGTCCATTAAATTAAGATCATAATTTTTTTTTAATAATATCTTCAATTTACCTTCAAGTTCAATTCAAATTGTAATTTATTATATTCATGTTATATATGTTTTGAATGTATTGTTCCAAATACGTTCAATTAATTATTCTTTCATTGTACCTAATGTATTAGTATGTGCATTATTGTACATAAACCATTGTAAATAATTATATATTAATAGTTACTATTAACAAAACTCATATTGAAATGATTGTTCCATTTTTACGTTTATATTTAAAAATAAAACCTAGAAAATAAGCTTTAAAAAATAAATGGAAAGATGACTGAAACATTTTATGGTGTATTATTTTCAATTTAATTTTTATAATTAAAAAATTATTCATTTATACATAAAATGAGAAAGAAATATTAATATGGTGTCTAGGTTATGTTTATTATGTCATATTAGTACCTTAAATTTAATGTGCAATCTGTGCTATTACAAAAATCGTAAATAAGTGAAGTTGTTTAAAAAAAGAGTACAAGAAAGCAACAGTTTATGCACAATAATATTGATGATTTCTATACAAAAATGCCACTTAAATTTGATTTTAGGCTGAAATAATTTATATGTACAATCTTATTGTATATGTTGAATGAATACATAAATTCTTCTAGTATTATTTAAGAAAAAAGCTTTTGCGTGGTCAGTAAAAATCTGTAGTGTAAATATACGTTCATGTTACTTAACTTCAATCAATAAAAGAAATATTAATATTAAAATATTTTAAAGTGAAATACTTAACAGTTATTAATTATTTTTGATAATTGAACAATTTGTGTTTATAATAGAAAATATTAAATATTTAATAAATAAAATTCTATTATACTGATGTTCATATATAAAGCATTCACTTGAAATATTTTATTATGCTGAGGTTTCCATGAGATTAAACGACATATGAAACTGACTTTATTATCACGCTCTATATGTTTCTCCTTAAAATTTTGGTTACGTTTAAATATTTGTACACATATCTATCAGTACCATTAATTAAATTTCAATTAATAACATTAAAATAAATTTTTATTATATCCGTTATTTTGATTCAAAAATTTGAATGTATAGTACAACGTTATCTCATTATTTTCAGAATGTTTTATTGATAGGAAAGAATATTAGTAACTAAATTAATATGCCAAACAACATACGTGTACGTTATTATAGTTCATAAATTATAACTTAAATAGATAGATAACATACAAAAATTATTATTAACAACTTATAATTTAAAGAAACGAGAAATATCGATAACTATAATCGATATTGCAGACTTTTAAAAAAATCGGCAAGTAGGATGTCCTTTGGAAGGGATGAGAGACGGTGGCCGAGAGGCTCACATCAAAATGGCCGCATTTTAGTCTACAGACGATTTTTCTTTACTGTTTGCCAATAGCCGCATAAAGGGCCTGGCAGTGTTCCCTTAAGTGGTAGATCTGTTTCGCCGGAAATTTCGCTGTTGAATAATCTGAAAATTTTCGTGAAATAGAACAAACTTCGGTAAGAAAATTCAACCGCATAGTTCCGCTGCCAAATAGCCGGGCCAAGCCCATTGTCTATTGACTAGTTCATTTACAAAATTCCTTTTTTGCGTATAATATTGTTACGCATATTAATTATAAATGAATTTCCTAAAATTAATTCATGATATAGATAATGTAATTTATATTTGCAACTACTGTCAAATACATACTTAACTTATTGTTTTTAAAACATTCATTAGCTTACTTTAAATAACAAAATCTGTTTTGTAATATGTTTTATGTATCTATATTATTTAAATATCATTCGTCTCGTTTAAACATAAATATTTATCATATTAATAAGTTAATATTTATTTTTTATATTAGGATATTCATATAGAAAAGAAATTACATTGTATGTATGTCATCTGAAATTAAATGATGTACTTGAGGTGTTCTCTTTTAGATAAATTTGCTAAAATGTATTATTTCTTCAATATTTTTATTAATTTCAGGTTGTGCATAATTATTATACATGATGTTACGTCACCAACATCACACAATGCAAAACCAACTTCGAGATCATAATAGGTTTGTGATAGTTTTCTAATGTCACATCTAAAATTTTTTATAATTTATATAGAAATACATGATATATATTTAAATATTCTTATTTCACATATGGTGAAATATGAAATGATTATTAAGTACAAAATGTTTTAATGTTTATGCTATTTGATGTTTTATTAGGATGGGTGGTCCGATGCGTCCTATGCAACAGGCAAATATGGCCCCTTTACATCAGCCTCAGCATCCGTTACCGCATCGGAGTCCACATCAACAAATACTGTCCATGCCCCCCCATCAACAGCACATTCATCACATGCAACACCCTGGACCACCACATGGAAATCCAAGGCAACCGATGTTGATGGGCATGAATGCACACAATACGAATGGTAGTGCTGGATAAATTGCAGTATGCCCTTGTATAATAATAAATTATTTCCACAATTACAAGACTAACTCTGATCGCTCTTTTAGGCACCATGGTTAGCGTCAGTCTAAAAGAACAAGCAAACACTGTCTCTGTGACTCTACAAAATCCAAATATACAACCACCGCAGTATCCACAACAACAAAATAATCAACGAAATCCCCCGCCACCGCAGCAACACATTCAACAACCGCAAAGCATAGAATCAAATAAACCAACTTCAAACGAAACAAATAGTGGAGAGTCCAGAGATCAGAGTCCGCCTACTCAAAATCACGTTAACGTGACTGATTCAGCTTTGGCAAACATGAAAGAAAAAACACCAATGTGCTTATTGAATGAGTTAGCACGTTTTAATAAGATTCAACATCAATATAGGTTGACTAATGAACAAGGACCAGCGCACAAAAAACGATTTACAGTAACGCTAAAATTGGGAGATGAGGAATACGTTGCAGAGGGTCCTAGCATAAAAAAAGCTCAGCATAGTGCTGCTACTGAAGCATTAACAAAAACCTGGTATCAACGGCCTCCGCCGAAACCTACAAAGACAATGCGAGTTGGGCATCCAGGAAAATGTTTTAGTGGTCCTGGTAAATGAATATTATATTTATAAAACATACACTAGTTTGTATAATATATATATATATATAATTACAAAAGGACTATAGATATCACAAAGGTTTAAACTACATTGTTCGTTATAGGAAATCTACCACCAACTGTTGAATTAAATGCTTTGGCTATGAAGAGAGGAGAAGCTACAATTTATACTTTTAGACAAGCTCCACCAGCAGGATTCCATCAATATGTTACAAATAGCTTAGGACCCTTCCCACGAATATTTAATCCACGTTATACTCCGTTATATCTTGTATCCTTAAGGGTAGAAAAATAATAAAATTATGTTACATTAATTGTAATTTTGACATAAGATTTTATTACACAATTCATTTTGTAGGTAGGAGAACGTCAATTTATTGGTAAGGGTTTGACAGGTCAAGCAGCACGACATGACGCAGCGAGTAAAGCTTTAGAACTATTGCGCCTGTTGCCATTACCAGAAGAAGTAGCTAATACTTGTAATGCTGGTGGGAATGGTACATTAAGTGAAGCTAAAGACTCGATTGCAGAATTGAAGAGTCCTGTATCATTAGTTCACGAGAAAGCATTAAAACGTGGTCTACCTGTTAGTTTTGAAGTTGTGTCAGAAATTGGTAAGCCTCATATTCGGACATTTAGAACAAAATGCACTGTTGGAGATAAAGTTACATTAGGAGAAGGATCTTCAAAGAAAGTAAGATTTTTATATTTAAAATATAAGATTTTATATACAGTTTTATTTTTCTTATTATAAAATAAACATTTTATAACATAATATATTTATAATTTAACGCATAGGTATCAAAAAAACATGCAGCAGAGTTCATGTTAGAAGAACTCAATCGTCTACCTCCGTTGCCCGAAACTATACAAAATCGCTTAGTTCGGGTAAAACGCAAACCACCGGCAGCAAAGAAGAAGTCGCGAAATCTCATAAAAGTTTATCAAGAACCACGCTCAGAATCTGACGCTGCAGAAGAAGTTAATGCAGTTTCACGACTAGATCAAATACAACAAGCTAAGCGAGAAAAAGAACCTGTCTATAATTTGATTGAAGAGAAGGGTGCACCAAGGCGAAAAGAATTTGTCATGGAGGTTACTACAGGACAGCATTCTGCTCAAGGAATAGGTCCTAATAAAAAATTAGCTAAAAGAGCTGCAGCAGAAGCCCTTTTAGCACAACTAGGTTATAGTAAGCCCCAACCACAACCTACAAAACCATCGATTAAAACAGGAGAAAGTGAAAATACCGAACAAAAACCTAGGAAAGTCACCTTTTTAGAAGATGAGCAGATCAATGAAACTCAACCTCATCCACCAGTAGGAGGTAAGATGTAAATTAATATGTATATATGTAATTCAAATCTCTATGATATTCATTGAAAACAAATGATGAGTAGTAAAATTTAAGATGCACATAATGTAGAATTATTTATTCTATACAAGTATTTGTTAACTTTAATCAGGAACTATCGGACGTCAGTTAGTACCTGGACTTTTATTAGTGGACGGAGGTCAGGAATCTAAATTAGGTAGCGGACCGAGTGTACAAATTGTTGCTGAAGAACTACGTGGACAACAGCAACAAAATCCACCCACTGTTTCCCCCAAAGATCAATTGAAATATCTTTCTCAACTATTTAATTTCAGCGTGGAATTCAATGATTTTCCAAAGGTAAATATAGCTATTAAAATCTTATTCTGTAATTTAAAATGTATATTAATGTATAATGCAATACAATAATGCAATTATACGTAGTATCAAAATATTTATTAAAAGTATTAATTGTAAAAAAAAATAAATTAATTGATATTGAATAACAAATTAATAATTAATGTTGTTTTCAGGGAGCAGTAAATAAAGAATATCTATCACTTGTAACATTAAGTACAGATCCACCACAAGTTTGTCATGGTAATGGGCCAACGAGAACTGCGAGCCGTAATCAAGCAGCATTGAAAGCTCTATGTACTTTAAGTAAGCTGGGTCTCGATAATGCATCCAACTCACAAACAAAAAAAGATAAAGGTGCGTCTGGAGACGGAATACACATTAGCATTCAAGTTAAAAACAATATAATGGATGGAGCTATTGATAAGTAATTATATAGCATTTAAGGTTTACATATAAGTTTAATTTACATTGCCCTTTTAAGGCATTGCAAAGGAAAATTATTTTAAGGACATTTCATAAAGTCATTGATGAGAACAAGATATGTCTGAAAAAAAATTTTATAAAACAAATAATTTCATTGTAGGTTTAATATTAATAGTAAACCTTAATGGCAAATTTTTTTGAACATTATAACAAATTTTTAAGAATAATGATTTAATTGAATTCTCCTTAATTTATTAGATAGATAAATACAAATGTCAGTGTTCTTTTCCATTATTATGTGTTTCTAACATTTTTTCTTACCTATCAGGATTGTAAGCTTTTATTTTTATTAGTATGTATGTTGCTTTTATGTATTCTCTTTAAATTATTTTTTACATATTATTAATCATGTACTCTACTTTTATTAATGTATTTACATATATTACAGTTGTTGAATGAACTAATCGGAGGGAAAATGAGTCTTCTTGATCTATCTCTCTGGGCCTTATTACACGGTAACTTCAAACGTTGAATCACCGATGACTCTCGATCTTCATACATTACGCCATTGCTTCTTTAACTTAACGGATCGCGGATTTTGAAGATCAGTAGCTTTTTATGAAGGATCAATCTTTTGCAGTGCCTTAATCGCATCAAGAAATTGCTCAAGCACCAATAAATAATGAATCATTTACGTACAGACATGTTTTCTTTCTTTCTTTCTTTTTTTCTTTCTTTCTTTCTTTCTCTCTTTCTTGCTTCCTTTCTTTTTTTCTTTCTTTCTCTCTTTCTTTCTCTCTTTCTTTCTCTCTTTCTTTTTTCTTTTTTTTCTTTTTTTTCTTTTTTTCTTTCTTTTTCTCTTTCTTTCTTTCTTGTTTTCTGTGAAGCCGAGTGTTCGCAGTAGTTTACGATAGATTTTTGTGACAATTATATGTATGGTACAAAGCGTAGAACTTATTATCTTTGATTGCGACTATGTTATAACTTAAATTGTGTTTTCTGCGCTTGAATATGTAATAGATCCTCGATATAAGAGGTGTTATTGGTGCTTGATCAAGATTGTGATCCTAACAGTGGTCATTGATTCTATTATATTTATTATAACAATTTCATTGATAGGACCACAATCAGGAAACATAAATTGTTTGTCGTAAATGAAATGGTCATTTTCCAGAGAGTCGTGGTTTATGATCATCAAAGCATTGTAGAAACGTTAAGTAAAAAATATTGAAATCTGAGATGAAATGCGGCCATCTCTTAATTTCTCTATATAATCCTTGGCTTTCTCATTCTCGCGAATACAATGTCTGTTATGTCTTATTACCTAATACGAACGCGTACAAATCAGTGAAACAATCTCAGTGATCTTCATTTAAATAGATCTAAAAATGACTTCGATAAAGTTATTTTATTTCGTACAAAAATCTTTCGCCGTTTTGTTGAGCAAAGCGAAATTTCTTTTAATAATTATTAATTTGGAAATTGTATATAACAACCATTACGAAACAAGCGCATTTTCTCAAAACGAAATTCGATTAGAAATTCCAAAGAGTCACGTATATTAAGTGTCTCCAACTAAGTTATCAGATTTTTATGGTGGTGACATTGACACAAAGAAATTAACACTTATAAATTCTTAGTGCTTTATGAAATCAATAACATTATACTGGTTTATAAAATTGAACATGTACATATAAAGAAAAGAATAAAGGATTGGCAATTAGTTGGAGACTCTTTAAACGTACTGAATTATTCTACGAGTTTCCGTTTTCAAATTTATAAAATTGAAGAAAGGTAATGTGATATATTCATATTATTGCCCCAATTTGCTTTTCTATGGGGCCTAGAAGCACTCTGGGGTTATATTCGTGTTTTACAAGATATTGAAAAGTGAAGGACATTCAAATTTTCATACATCCGTTATCTAAGACAAAAATGGAAGATGATCTGGATGTATTGGAAATTGTAGATAAGATGGTAATAATTCAAAATTTGTCTCGTTGAGTCATTATTATTAAGAAAATAATTTTGTTTTAATTGTAATCAAGAATTTGATGAAATAATACTTGAGAAACAACGTCGCCGAATTTTGTCTTATTGCCAAACGTTTATAATGATACTACATTGATGATGATACAAAGAATATCTAATAATGAATAAAGATAATGTCAAAAAATAGACTTAGTTCTGTCTATACAAGAACAAAAAGAAATATAATTCTATGTTTCTCGTGTAAACGACTTATCTTATATTCATTATTCTCACTGCATCGTTTTACAGGTTTCTTAAATATTATGAGTCCTTAGAAGAAAAAAAACATACAAATAATTCTTAAATTTCAGTAACGTCACTGATTATTTTTCCACGATATGTAATACACTCCGTATCACGGAGATAGAAGGAAAGAAGGATTACTTATATCATTTACGATACTTTTTTCTTTCAGATAACCTTTCGTAACGCGAAACCTTCCGAATAATTTATAGGTCACTCGAGGACGAGTTAATGAATGTTCCTTTTTCTGAGATATCGCTTCATAGGTGGGCCTTCCTTCTTCACGTGGGATTCAGTGTTCCAATTAAAAGAAACAAGAGAAAAGAGTCATAATAACCTCTTTCGCATAGTTTTTTCAATAAAAAAAGAAAAAGAAAGAGAAACAGAAACATGAATCCTACGAAAGTGTACCCCTGTTGCAAGACCTATTTTATCCGCGTAAATTGTAATACAATAGTTAGTCGTAACAATAAGTGAATAAAGTATTAATTACTAAGATGTATGAAATGGAAGTATCTCGACAGAATACGAAGATAAACGTGATTCCAAGAGATAACGCGGATGCATTAGAATAAAAGGTCACATTCTAAATACTTATTTTACAAGTAACGCTTTTCTTTTAAATCTGTAACTATCGGACAGTTGTACTATTGGCACAGAAGTCTATATACCTGATTATGATTAAACTATAAATTATTATATCGTAGTAACATACGTACTTTGTTTTGTGTTTGAATTTATTGATAAATAAATGCACAAAAATTTCAATTTTTTAGTATTTTCAACAGTTACTGTTGAATTTTCAACAATTTACTGTTTGTCTTCGAATAATTAAATGTTAAGTTTATCTGAATCGTGTACCGATAGTTAAAGAAATAATTTCTATGAAAGTAGCCAAAAATGCGAATAAACAAAAATTTCTGTTAAAAAACAATTAAAACGCCACGTTAATTTAGTCTCATAATACTGCATATGTTTACGTTAAGTAAATAATTAGAACTGCTTTTTTAATAATGAAGAAAAAAAATTATAATATACAATTAACGTTTTTAATGTCGTGGTATACAAAGTGAAAGTTGCGCTTAAAATAAGTTGATTCTCTTATTCATTCCTTATGAGAGGACAGTCGTAAAATGTAATTTTCAGTAATATTGATAAAAAAGCACGATTGGATGAAAAAAATTAAAAAATAGTTATGGCAGTAAAAATTTTACACTGATAAAGTTTTTTATGGCGAAAAATCGTTACTTCCGTTTTAAAAAATGATTGTTTAATACGTAGGTATCTACTGCTTATTTAAACTTTATCGGTTTGTATTTGACATTAATAAACGATTGTAAAAATGTTAAAATGTTTTATTTTTTGTTTTATTTGTTTTAAGTTTTTAAAATGTTAAAATTAAGTTTAAATTAAAATTATTAATATCGAAAGACTATAATCGATAAATTCGAGATAATCGTTTGTTATTCGATGTCGCTGTAAATCTAACGGTAACATTGATTAAACACAAATGTTATAGGTTATGGTCATCGCTAAAGTTATTTAGCAAATCAAATTTTTCAAAGAAAATGTTGATTTAAACTACAAACGTTCTTATTCATCGAATGATGTTATGTTCTAAGCGGGGCTAACTATTTCAAAAATAAAATCAGTTAAAACGTGTAACTTCTTACTTCACGTCATAAAATGAAAGGTTAAGTTGTGGATGAAAATGAAAGCATAAAATTCTTTAAATTCTCCAGGCGCATGTTTTTTTAAAAAAAGTAACTGAAAAACATTCATTTAAAAGACAAAGAAAGAAAAACAAATAAGTGATCATGTTTAAAAATACTTTTCAAAGTGGATTTTTATCGATCTTGTATAGTATTGGTAGCAAGCCATTACAAATTTGGGATAAAAAAGTTAGAAACGGACACATTAAACGAATCACGGATAATGATATACAGAGTTTAGTATTAGAAATATTGGGCAGCAATGTTAGTACCACATATATCACTTGCCCAGCAGATCCCAGAAAAACTTTAGGTATTAAATTACCATTTCTAGTGATGATAATTAAGAATTTAAAGAAATATTTTACATTTGAAGTTCAGGTAAGAAAATATTTAATTAGTCAATTATAACAAAATATAATATATAATATAATATAAATATCAAATGATCATAAATATTTGATTTTAGGTAATTGATGACAAGAATGTACGCCGTAGATTTCGTGCTAGTAATTACCAATCAACAACTAGAGTCAAACCATTTATTTGTACAATGCCAATGAGGTTGGATGATGGATGGAATCAGATTCAGTTTAATTTAGCTGATTTTACTAGACGTGCATATGGAACAAATTATGTTGAAACATTAAGAGTTCAAATTCATGCAAATTGTAGAATACGAAGAGTATATTTTTCTGACAGACTATATTCTGAAGATGAATTGCCAGCAGAATTTAAATTATTCTTACCAATTCAGAACAAGGCAAAATGTTAAGTTAGTTTTAATTCTCTAACATTTCCTAAAAATGTTTAAGAAAAAACAAAAATAAATCATATATTTATAAATTAATCAATTTTGTGACTTTCACTTACAGTTAATATTTATTTTATAAATATATATTTAGCACATTGACAAATTACTATATGTTATATAATGATGATTGACGACATTAAAAACAATATATATTTCATTAAATATATTTTATTTTTTACATATATTTTTGTTAGATATACATTACATTAAAAGATATAAATCTACTTAAAAATTACAACAATGTGTGCATAAAATAAATCTATTTACATTTGTATAAAATTTATATTTAGTTAATTACTTTGATTGTATTTTTTGTTCAATAAAAAGTATGAATTGATTAATTAATTACTCGTATTTTTTGTGTAAAATAAAATTTACTCTATATAAAGCACAAAGTAAAACTTTGTAAAATAAACAATTCGAATTTATAGATGTAAGTTCACATTTTCAAAGTATTTGTCCATTTATTATAAGAGTATATTTTTTCTGAATATTAAATGTTTGAACTTAATGTTACATAATTAGGTTAATTAGAGTAATTTGTTTTATTTATAACAACAAAATTATAAAGATGCTATAATGTTTTATAACAATTTTATAAAAAGTTATCTAACTTGAATATTAATGATATACGAAAAATTAAACATTAATTGATAAGTAAATATATACGTACATTAAAAGCTGTAGAAAACAAGATAGTAGTCGTATATACTTGGGAAGTGTATTAATTGCTAATTATTAAGTATTGATTTTTTTAAATGGGGACGTAGCATATTCAAGGGGGAGGCTGTTCGTTCGCAAGTACCTGGAACTATTTTTCAGTGCGACAAAAACGTCTACATTTATCCCGCCCACCACGGGCGTAGTAATACATGTTTGGAAAAATGGCGGGAAAGTTTGGAAAAATTGTCATAAAATTTGTCGATGTGGCGCGACTTGCAAGTAATGTATCGATCAAGATCTATTTCTAGTAAGATAAAGTTATGATTCTGTAACGGTACAAAATATAAAATAACTCTATTAAATTATTTGTGAAGAAAATAAAAAATACAAACGAATGGGTGAAAGAAGATGGCGGACCAATTAAGAGTACCGCGCTGATACATTTTATTCTTTATTTCTAGCAAAGAACAGTATTTTAGAAATATGAATCCATAGATTTCACGTGAAATCTTTAATTCTCACATAAATAAGAAATAAATGATAATAAAAGGTATTATAATTTGCTAATAGTAATTTCGTTTAATATGACCGGAATCCATAAATAAAACAATTGGTTATATACATATGTTTTTCAAATCGACGAATGCTATTATATATTTTGTATTGAGCACTCGTTTCGGGAGAGACGCCGACGCCCGGCGCCGACGTCGTTTTTAAAGCGTCAACGTTGTGCTGGAGTAATCTCACCCAATCCGGGAGACACATAAGTAAAAAAAATCGTTAGAATAATCAACCCTCTCAGACACGTTGGCACATCGTAAAGATGCATTGCTGAAAGTTTTATATCGGACATTTCCGACGTTTTTCATCAAGGTGCTAAGATAACGAAAGGGAGGGAAAATAATAATAAGCAATGAATTTAACATCGTGAAACGGCGCCGCGTGAAATCATTTAATATAAATCATTTTTAAAACGTGCTTGTATATATAAATAGTGAAAAAAACATTTCTTTAACGTGGTGATATCTCGTCATTCTTTTTCTTTCTTTTTGAAATGGGTACGGCGGGTCGCGATTTCGAACGCGATCGGGAGGACGAGATCCACTGCCGAATTTGTGCTAGTGACATACCAAGAAACGACGGGGTTCACATTTTCGCAGAGGATGGTAGACGGCACTACCTGCAGACCAAAATACGAAAATATCTGTATATCTTGGTAAGTCTTTTTCTACTTCATGTGAATTAGCGGGATCGCTATTGTATGCGCGCCCACACATATACACAGTTAAACTAACGTGTGTGCGAATTTTTTTCGAAAACTCCACTTGGTACCCTGTTATCAATGTTTCGCGCTCTACCCCACCTGTACTCCGTTTTCTATACATGTGAAGAAATACATCTACATTTGTCTCTAAAATTTGAGAATTACTACTGAACTTTGAAATCTTTCATAGTGCCACGCGCCAATACAAATTCGAAATATAATATCATTTTGGGAAAATAAAATATTAAAAATAATGCATTTGTTTTAATTAGTTTACATAAACATTATTTATTAATTACAATAATTAATAAAAAATTCGATCGTTAATTCACCTTTAGTTAAAAATGAACCTTATTTAAAAAAAAATATTTTATGTATTTATGTAAATTAAGGTGGAAATTCACGTAATTAATACTTATGTGTATATATTTACTTTGGAATAATCAAATATCTACAAATAGTAAGATGGAAGAATCCATTTTGATGGGAATACAGAAGTGTTAAAAATTAGCATTTTATTGATTACAATAAGTATGCTATATGCGCTATATAGATGTTAGCGCATCTATAAATATAATTCTATCCATAAGATAACTCATAAATAGCGCGTAGCGTTTTTTAAAACAAGATTATACATTAAAGATTTAATACGATTTGAATTTAAAAAAACTTTCACGATTTAAATAAAAATAATTATTTATATAAAAGTAAGGTTATTTTTTACTAAAAAAAATTATATAGAATTATTAGTTTGATAAGAAAATAAATAAAGTACATTAATTTTATAAATTATTTATAATCATTTTATTATAAATTTTTATTAAAACAATTTCCTTTGCATTTTTTTTTTTTAATTTTTTGACAAGATATAGAGAAACATTAAATATTAACTTTTCCTATTGTATTTTAATTTTTAATGCTTTTACTTATATAACTGCAACATTTTTAATTACTATATTTTTTATATTTAATTTTTGTCTACTTTCATTTTTATTCTCATTTCAAATCAATCTTTTATCAATTCTATATTTTGTTATAGGTATCCTCAGAAGATAAATTATCAAAAATGGTGTGTGTTACGTGCATCAAAAGATTAGAAAATATTCATCGATTTGCCATGATGGCATATAGGACACAGGAGAAGTTAAAATCACAATTATATAATACTGATAACATAAATACACTGGATGCAGAAAGAGAAAGTATTAAAGATATGCAAAATATTACAAAGAGGATAGAGGATAGAGGACTGTTGCATACAATATTAACAAAAGTATATTATAATCATTGCTATGTTATAATTATGTCCTAAATTGTATTGTGTATATTTATTTAACATACATTATCTTTTAGGGAGCAATAGAAATTTTAGCTGAAGGTGAACCTTTGGGACCATCAGAATTAATGTCACAAGAAGATAAATGTCATACTCCAAGTATGGAAGAAATGGAAGTCAAAGTGGATCCAATGTTATTCTTACAGTATGGCATGGAGCATTCAGCATCAGAAACTTCAGAAGCTTCCGACACAGAAGAAATAATAACAAGAATGAACTCTCCAGAGCCACTACCACTAACAAATAAGTAAGAATATTTATATTAGAATTTATAACATTTTTAATATATATGATTATATATTCATTAAATAGTATTTATTTTCTACAGAAATGATGAAGAAAAAAAGGAGAAGAAAGAAGAAAACAATACTAAATCACAAGAAGATACAGAAGAAACTATTTCTAATACAACAAAACCTCATGAATGTACAATATGTGCTCGATCTTTCATATCTCAAATTGGTCTACAAAATCATTTGTGGTCTCATTTGCCTAAAGATAAACGACTTGATGGAAAGCCTATTTTAAGATCTCAGCAAGTTTATTCTACTAATGGTGTACTTCATATGAATTCAGACAACAATTCATCTGGCAATTTTATCTGTCCAGTTTGTAGTAAAAAAATTTCTACTAAGGGAAATCTAAAAGTACATTTGGAAACTCATCGGCCTAAAGGAAAATATGGTTGTGACATATGTGGTAGAATGTAAGTATGAACAGTTATATTTACTTGAGTACCTGCTAAGTAACTATTAATACAATTATTTATCTTGTTTTAGCTTTAAAACACAGTCAAATTTATTTAGACATAAAGAGTACCATGGTGGAATACAATTTCCATGCAATGTATGTGGGAGAGTTTATCCAACAAATTCTACATTAAGGGCTCACAGTATAACGCATTCGGATTTGAGGCCTCACGCGTGTCCTCTTTGTGATAAAACTTTTAAGAGAAATCAAGATTTAAAATTTCACATAAATCAACATACAGGTGCAAGGCCTTATCAATGTCCATATTGTCCAAAAGCTTTTGCGAGTTCAGGGAATTGTTTCTCGCATCGCAAAAGAATGCATCCCCGAGAAGTGCATCGAGACAGACAAAGAGCAGCAGATTTAATGAGATGAACCATGGGTAGCCAATACGAAGAATGGTTTTAGAAAAAATGTAATAATTTACGATATTGTCGCATCGATGTGTATTAGCTATTATAACGAAGAAAATGAGCTTTAGTTCTGAATATTAATGGTGCTAATTCAAGAAGCAACGGAAATTTTGTATACTTTAATTGAATTGTTTGAACTTAGTATTAGATACTTATTATTATTGACAAGCACTTAGTTGTTTGTTCTTATGGCGTAAGTAGATCTTCTTTACATAAAATAGAAACAAACAAATATATATATTTTTCTTAATTTTTTATCTTATCAATGTTATTGAACTTGATATACTTCCATTGTTGTTGATAACTTTAGTGATTATTATTTATTGACTCATATATAGTACAAGTGATAATAACGATAGGTTTTAAACTCTCTAGTTAAAATAAGAAATTTGTATTTTTTACTCGTTTATCTATATTTAACTTGTATACATTTTCTTCTTCATCTGTAAGAGTAGAAATTATATTTAGATCGTCCTTACTACCATTTCTTAAGAACGATTTTACGATAATGTGGTTCGAAAATTATACGTAATAT